AGCAGATGAACTGGAATTTACCGCTTGGTTAAACATGGGCTTGTCGACAGGAGAGGAGTGACGCTCCGCGTTCACATGTGAGTTGAAATTAGAAGATAAATGCCTAGCAAAGCATGTTGAGGGAGGGCCAAGAATCGGGGGTTGAAAACTGGGGGGGGGATAAAAGTAAAGTTGGAAGGGGACGGTAAGAGTGAAAAAGCATAAGAGGGGGAATAAGAAGACGGGAATGCTTGAGCAGTAGCATCCAAACCCCCTATCCACCCTGCTCGATGCAGCAGATAGGGCACCGTTGATTATCCTCTGCGGTGGCCAGAGCATGAAGAAATTGTTTGAGGAAAGATGCATTGTATTTCGTGGGCAGGATACTGTCAGGTTGCCCAGGCCTAGACAGGAGAACGATTAGGGTTCTCAACCAAAGCGGTTCAAAAACCTGACCGCAAAGCAGCGGGTTTGGCGTTGGGCTACAATGAGTCCGTTTTAAGGAATAAGGTGCCACCCTCATTCCAACCCCAACCTGGAGGACCAGGAGGCTGAGTTTGTCTGGCCTCTAACCATTGGCCAATCTGGTATGAGTGGATCTGAAGGTGCAAAAGCACCACCCAGCATAGCTCAATGGATCACTGAGGCACACAAACCATCGCACCACGGTAAGGTCCAGCCTTATTGCGATGCTAACTTCTCTAGTGATGAAGTCATGGAAACCGCGTTCACAGGACACGACTTAGAAGGTGTGGGTTTGCTCCTAGGTAACGACCTCATGACTTAGATTATGCTGACAATATTGCCCTAAACTGTGACAGCCCAAAAACGTGCCAAGCGGCACTGCACAGATTAGCAACGACTGTCACCCGTTTCGGGCTATGCTTTGCAGCCTTGAAGTACAAAGCATTCCTTCAAGATTGGCAGGGACTGCCACCTGCGCTGACCCTTGGTAGGGATCAACTAGAAGTCGTACAAAAGTTCAACTACCTAAGTAATGGTGTCAGCACCCTTGAAATTGAAGACGAGATCACGAACCGTATGCAAAAGCTCGAGGCACTTTTGATAACCTTCGCAACCTATGGCACCGGCACGACATCACTCTCTCCTGAAGGGTAGAGTATACAATGCAGCCGTACGTTCGACCCTACTGTACGGTTATGAAACCATGTCCCCTTTGACCAACGGACATAAAGAGGCTTGTTTCGTTCGACCACCGTTGGCTTTGCAGTTTGGCTCATATCTGGTGGGAACACAGTGTGAGCATCAAGCGTGTTCGACACCTTGCCTATGGCGCACGAAGTAGAAGTGAACCGTTCAGCACCGTTATCTCACGCACCAGGCTCCGATTGCTAGGCCACGTGTTGCTCCTGCCACCCCAACGATTTCCGCGACGAGCGTTGTTTGCGCGCCGGGGGCGCGGATGGAGAAAGAGGAGAGGATGCCAAGCAATGCTATGACTTGGTGAAAAGGAATGAAGGTCCTGACTTCGAAGTTGGTTTCGGTTGAAGCCTCTCGGCTCCCTGGTTGGGGTCCGAAAAACGATGAACACGCTTGGTTCAATACAGTTGTTGATATGGCTAGAAGCAGACATCAATGACGTTCGTGCTGTGAGTTCCTTTGTCCCTCCTCTCCGCTTAGCCTCCCCTCCAACCACGGCCTCAGTTACTAGACATTATATGATTTTTTGCGGTACAATAGCCGGCTATTAGCTCTCCGGAATGATGTCCATCCGTTACTGGTGACTCAGCCGGCGTGCCACTGTTTCACATTTTTCTATTCTTTTGTATTGCAGCACCCTAGCTGCAGCTAGCATGTATAATGATGATGTATGGCTTGTCCACGAACCTCCGTATTTCTTATGTAATGTTGCCACCACACACGAGCAATCCTTCGCGGACAACGGTTGTCAAAAACTGACAGTCGTCTCATGCCTTTCGAGCGTACAGACCAAGTCTCACAGCCGTACAGCAGCACCGTATGGACGGAGGAATTGTACATCACGCCATTGAGCTTGGGACTGATGTCACGACGACGTCATAAGCGTCTCAGTTTGATAAAGGCAAGGCGGGCTTTTGTAATGCGCTGTGAAACCTCATCTCCAACACCTCTAACAATCGTGATGCGACTCCCTAGATAAGTGAAGCGATCCATTTGTTCCGGAACGTCACCGGCAATGGTGGGCGCAGGCGCAGACTCCCACCAATCTTGAAATGCACTTTACAATTGGCTGGCGGGAAATATAAGCCGTAAATGGATGCCATAATTGCTAAGCGATTCATGGTGTTTTGGACGATTTTCCGATCGTCTCCCAGCAAAGCGATGTCATCAGTGAAAGGTGAAACAGGGTAACGTTGGCTAACGAATAGAGAAGTCTGCCGTAAGCCTTAATTTCGCCCGACGTGTGAATGGCAACAGAATGGCAACAAACTAGTAGAGCAAACCCTTCCTTAGTAGACAATTCAACAACACAACTCTGTCTACCGAATCGAATGCCGCGCAGATGACCATGAACACTACGATTGTTGGTCGACGGTGGAAGTGGCAGAGCTCGAGAACTCGTCAGAATGTGAAAAGCTAACCAAGGTAATTTCGGCCCGGGCGAAAACTGGCTTCGTCTTCTCGGGAAAAACTCTCTCCAGGGGAGAAAAACCTGCGAAGTAAGATGGACATAAAAATCTTGGAAGAAACAGAGATCAGCGAGATTCCGCGGTAATGAGCGCAATCTTCGCGGAGGCATTTCTCGTGAATCAGGACAAAGATTGATTCTCCCAATAAGTTGGGGACCTCATCAGTCCAAATCTTCGTGAAAAAGGAAAGCAATTCGTTGAGAAGTACATCCCCGCCATCTATGGAAAAAAGCCGGATGAAGGCTGTCAGGGCTGGGAGCTTTACGCTGTTTCAAAGATCGGATTCATCGTCAATACAAGTAAGCCGAGGGTGAGAAACACACCTCAGCTAATGTGCCGAAATACAAAAAGGTAAGACATCAGCAATGTGGAGTTAAAAGCTTTAAAGAAGCAACATAATGCTAATATCACATTTCTGTTCGTTGTTGGAAGGGGAAGCTAAAGAGAAGTGGAAGGACAAAGAAACTCACAACACAAACGCCATTGAAGTCGACTCTTCGCCATGCCGGAAAGTGTACCCAAGCAAACGTGTTCATCGTCCTTCGGTCCCCATCCAGGCACTCGGGGGACACCAACCGACGCCAAGCTCGAAGTGATGGGATTCATCCTGTTGACCAGGTTATCGCTTGGCCTCCCCTCTCCAGTTTCCCATAAACACCACCGGCGCGCAAACAACGCAATTCAGTGGACTGGCATGCGCAACAGGTGACCCTGATACGTGGTATAACGGTGCTGAGCGCTTCACTCGCTCTTCCTGTACCAAATACGCGGCGCCGAACATGCACATTGCTCACGTGGTGTTCACAGCAGACATGAGCCAAGCTGCGAAGGCACCGATGATCGAACATAACTAGTCTGTTGAATTGATGGGCAAGGTTTCGCAACCGTACAGGAGGGTTAAACGGGCTACTGCATTGTAACCTCTGTGTCCAAGATAGCGGAGATTAGCAACAGCGCATCGGGCTTTTGCTATACGGTTCGTGATCTCATGTTCCGCTCTACCGGCCCTAGGAGAAAAACATGCATTTTAATGGTGCAAAGTACAGCCCGAAACGACTGACAGCCATAGCTAATTTATATAGTGCAGCTTGGCACGTTCGGGAGCTGTCACAGATGAGCGCAATGTCGTCTGCATACTCCAAGTCGAGAGGTCGTTCACCAGGGACCAGCTACACACTTACTAAGTGGTGCCCGGAGAACGTCGTTTCCATGAATTCGTCAATAGCGAAATTGAAGAGGAAAAGTGACAGCGGGCAACCTAGTCCCACACCGCTAGAGATATCCAAGGACAGCGAAATTTTGCCGTAAAACCTCACACTGTCCGAGCTACGCGCGTAAAGCGCTCGCATAATATTTACATAATGCTCGAACAGCCTTTCCTGAGTAGACAGTCCCAAAGGGTACATCGGTCAAAAGAATCAAAGACCCCAGTGATGCCCTGGAACACGATTACGGTGAACCGCCAATAAGCATGGTGGTGCTCTAACAAGTGACGTAATATGAATATGTGGTTAATGCAGCCAAAATTTCGATGAAACTCGGCTTGCTCCTCGCGAAACCGGCTTTTACGAGTGCTAGACAGTCTGTGGAGGACGAAATAGGTAAGTAACTTAGAAGCATTTGTCATCTGGCTGATTCCCGTCGCCTTCCCGTCGCCTTCGAAATGGGAGCCTCCATCGAAAATTGGAACAATTACGAGCGATTCCAGTTTGTCGGGACAGCTTCCTGCTCCTATACATTCATGATAAGTTATGTAAATCGTTCAAAAGAGCAGCCCCCCCAAATTTGAAGAGAGATGGATGGAGTCCATCTGCTCCGGCGGTTTTGTTCAATTTCAGCCGTCTGATCACAAGTTCGATTTCTGCACGTGAGGGCGCATCCAAGGGGACGGTCCAGCGAGTAGGGCGCTGATTGACCAATGGAGAAACTTACAACTCTGACTGACTAAACTGTTTCTCAAAGTGTTTGACCCAACGCTCTAAGCGCCTTGACAAGCTGCAGGTCGGCTGTCCACTCTCAAAGATCGGATTGCGCTTCGGATTTCTACTTCGGCAGGAGCGTCAGTGGGGACAAACCAAGTAACATCCGAAGGAGATGGATGTGTCACAAAGGGTTGTACTGGGTAGTTAAATTGAAGAGCAAAGTGCTCTGCCCAGCGCTTCAATCGCTTCTGCATGCTGGTGATTTTTATACTGCATACCTCGCAGACTGTCCGACTGACGGCGTGTGAATTGCAACCGGTAGTCTTGATGAGGCGAAACAAACTGCTGTAGAGTCCAAACGATGCAGTGGCTTCCATCCTAGCAGCATAGAGCACCTAACTCCCATAACAATCCCAATATGACGAATGATAGGAGGAAAACGAGCAGACTGTATATGAGAAATACTCACCAATTCCGTCTCCTCGATATTGTTCATTTGCTGGGGTTGAAATCGCATAACCGTTGTTGCGGCAAATGAATAGGATCGGGCACCGAAGAGTAGCTGCGAAATTGAGGGCGACAAAGGTGTCTCCTTCAGAAGATGCGCCCTCACCAAAATAACAAGCAACCACTTGACCGTTTCGAGCCAGTTTGTATGAGTAGGCCGAACCAACAGCTGAGCAGAGAGGAAGTGCAAGTTACACGGGTAAACGTACAGCACTAGTGAAATACAGTATGTAAGGTTTCAGAGAAGGAAAATTCGTCCAATAAAGAGTCGTAATGGTTTAGAGAGAAATTTCGGAGGAATAGATCCGCAACAATCAAAATTAGAATGCTTATGGCGATTCAGTAAAGCCGACCAAGTGTTTCTGTGCAGATCGAAATAAAAGGGTAAGTATAAGCATAAGAGGTATTTAGCTCATGCAGAATGATTTGATGGATGCGAGATAACGAACAGTCTAGTTCAAAGTGGCACGAAGAGTAACAATACTCAAAACACAGCCGAAATCACGGCATATAACATGACGCGTTATGAAGTAAGATGAGTTCCTCCTAAGCACACTAAGTACAGCAAGCATACAGTGCACGATGGAGCCCTGCTGCGCCAAGATAAAATATCTCCACAAGCATATATATATATATATATATATATATATATATATATATATATATATATACAATCTGTTAACAGACATTTTGCAATCAGAACCATTGCAGAAAAAAGTGAAGACGGGAACACGAACTGCGATTTAAAAATATGGGAAACGATCCTTTTGGTTTTACACACACCATTTTGTAGTTTTTTTGTTTTTGTTTTGTGTTTTGTGTGCATCAAAGGATGGTAAAATGGTAGAACAACATTGACGCCACTGATGTCTGTTGCGGGCCATGACGTCTAATGTTTCCAACCATTGTGATTCAGCATCTCGTGGTCCCCAACCTGGAAGACGAACTGGTCCGACTGCCGCCAAACCTGAGGTTGCCTTCTTCGTGCTCCTTCTCCAAGTCATTGGCTGTCCACCGCGGCACTTTTTCCAATCGCTCCCTGGGAGTGCAAATAGCGCTCGACGTGGAAGGCGATGGGCTGGCATGCGCAGAACGTGCCCGAGCCAACGCAAGCGATGTCGGAGAATAACGTCCTGAAGACTGGCACAAGCACTCAACATCTGAAAAGATGCTCGGGAACTCATGATTTTAGAAACGTTTGAAAACAACCAGTTGGTATAGTTCGTGAGCAACGTTATGATTTCGACACGAAAGCTTTGTCAGGCCGTGAACCAACAGGGGATAAGTATAGCACTTATAGCGAACTGGGAAGATAATCGCGACGTTAAAGCTCAAAACGTCACTCAAAGTAGTGCATGCAACGGTCACAAGTGATCTGTGTTAGAAGGTAACACACGCTAGCCTTGTTAATGATGAGTGTGGGGGTGATGTTATGCTCGTTCTCTGCCTTGGATCCGTCCGCCGGTGCTCCTCAGGCTGGTCGGGTTAAGACAGTCCACCACACTTTCGAAAACTCTGCCCTGTTCATGCTGTTCACCTTGCTAATCTCAACAGCCTCAGGAGTCAGCCCATGGAGCGTCGATCGTAACCCCTTTGTGACGGAACCATATAATGTTATCGACAATAAGACTGTAACGTCAGTGGAGAATAAAAATAAGATAGATGTTGGTAATTACTTAAGAAACGTAGGACAGATAAAATGCGCCAAATCAACCCTTTTACTGAGTATATGGTTTAGCGAAGATACATAAGCCAGATATAACCATTTGACCTATTGTATATGGCATGGGTTCTCCGACGCATGAGCTAGCGAGATATTTGGCTAGCCTACTGCAACTGTTGACAGGGCGAACGAATACTTTCGTAAAGAACTTTTGTGACTTTGCGCAAAAGGTGTCGAGTCTTATGATGGAGTCGGATGGATGGTCAGTTTCGAAGTTAACTCCCTCTTAACGTACCAATATGCGAGGCTTTTGAGACAGCAAAACACCATCTAACTATAGGCAATAACTATGGAGACAGGACGAAGTTAACGGTAGATCAAATAACTGTAGGAATGACAACGTGCATTAACATGTCTTACTGCATGTTCCAACATAGATTATACACGCAGGAATAGGGACTTGCCATGGGATCGCCGATACCCCCCGTATTGGTAAATTTGTACATGGAAGACTTTGAAGAGTAGGCGCTGCCAAAGGTCTTCAGATTCAGGAGACCTTTGTTCCAGTATAAACGCAGGATGTTGGACATCTCGCGTAAACTTACGTAAACTAGAAGTCGAGTCGCAGAAGGCATACTGAACTACCTTTCAAAATGTTCAAAATGTTCCGACGCAGCTGAGAACGGATTAACTGCCCATATTTATCCGCTACTGTCTCAACAGCTGACAGCTTTCTTGAACTAGTGCGCCGGATTAGCTGGAACAGTGCTCGTCTGTGCTCAATAGCAATGATTTTCTCCATTTCATGGGTCCTTGCTACCCACCAACGTCTGCGGTCAATTCTAAGATCATTAGTCAGTTTTCGTTTCAGGGTGTTACGGAACGCGAACCCCGGGTACCCAACGGAGTTTCGGTCAAACTGGCCGATGCCTCAGAACTTTCCTCTTTGTTCAGAAGACATAAACTGCATGTATAGCCCGATTAAGACATCCTTCGTGGATAATATATGACGATTTTAGTTGACATCAGAGATACCGATTTCATTTATCACTGACTACCAGTGGGCCAGTTCGTCTTGATAGTGCTGAATCGCTGGTTATGAGTAGAGGCTGAAAGTGAAAAGCTTAGAAGTTGGGCGCTTCGTCGAAGCAGGAAGAGTGAGCGCTAAGTGTGCGCATGCTAAAGCAAGGTCGCAATCTAAATTGGCTGAAAATCTTGAATCAACGTGCGCTATCTGCATCTGATGGCAATATGGCATTTTTGGTCAGTCGCTGACAGAAGGAATGACGTGTCTGTCTTGTAAACCAAAGATCAGCATAAGTGCGGGCGAGTGGTGGTGATCGCATGACAGCGAAGCGCCGGTGCGGTGCACCAGCGTACTTTGAATGCTTTACTTCTGTCTTTCAGGTAGGTTGATGCAGATGAAACGATGTGGGTATTTGTGCTGGAAAGCAACGCTGGTAGCATAAAGATTGTGACTAACGCAAACTTACAGGATTCAGCTGCATATTGTCTGTTCTTTGCATATCGACCTTAAAACGGCCCCAGGTGTTGTTCAGAGTCCGAGAAGTGTTCCAGTAGGGCATTCATATCACCAGCACCCATTACGATATCAGTATTTCTCGCCAGACCGATAAAAGATGAGCGCTGAGGATAGAATCCGCTTCTGATATCCTCCCAGCTGCAATGAGTTGCGTCATCAACCGGAACGAGGAGAAGGTAACTTGTCTTCAGACGGTGTTCATTAATCTCAACTGAGACCCGATGTCGAACTGTACATATGAGGCTCTGCAATAGTAGTTATTCAAGCACATCAGAATGTTTACTGAAAGAAACACCATTAATACCATGAGCCATTGCCTCAGTATCGCCAGAGGTTCACAGAGTAGCCATTTTCGATTGATTCGGGACCAGGAAGTCGAAGATCTGTCCCGAGACTGATATCTCATATGCGTGTTTAGGAAAAACAACACACATCAATTCCAAGAGTGCGAGGAGTGAGCGCTGGCGTTTCCTGTTGACCGATCTGACTTAGAATGCAAACGTTGAATGGAGTCGAAAGAAAAGATAACCACAGTTGGAAATGTTAATCAATCATTTTACTACAGAGATGCGTAAATCGTCGCACCATGTTAAGGTCGTTAAGGTCGGAATGCGGGTCTAGAGCTGAGGGTGATGTTTCCTTCAGCAGGATTTGTGGTAACTGCATCCGTATGCTCAGACGTTCACGATGAGTATTAGGTGGATAAAGTAGCCCTGGGCAGTCACGGACTATATATTTGGGGACGCAACACACACATCTGGGGTGGCTAGTGTGAGTAAGTATATCGAGTCTGCATTCCAGTTCATTTCGAACTATAGGTGTTTAACGAAGCAAGCGAACCGAGCACCATGACGTGGTTTTGCTGGAAAATAAGTATGCAGCGTGTTGAACTGTGGAAAGAAAATGAACGTTAAGTGGTATCGGAGTCGGTAACCTTCCCTCTAGTTCAGTACTCGGTAGCAAGAGAGGCATGAGAGAGATAGGTGGAAACAAAAAACGTGAACAGAATATCCCTTCGCTAATCCACCACATTGTGCTCAATTAACCAGGATAGTAGAAACGGCGCGATGGACGATGCGGAACGAGGCAAGATTCCGTGGAATAGTACATGCTGCATGTCACCCCATGTTATCATAAGCCCAAACCTACGTAAGAACAGGGCACTCAACGAGTAAACATGACCCGAGTGTGACAATAGTACAACAACGGATACATTCATGGAAATAGATAGTGATGTAAGTTCAACCGAAGAAAACGGAGAACAACGAGATTGAATTAGCCTGACCGATAATCAGTACCCAAGTTAATAGGGGTACCTCTTAAGAAGCTCAAGTGCACCACACAGAACCACACGGTAGCCACTAACCATACGACGAGTATCAAAGCCGAAACGGATTCCGAGGCGGAATCACGAGAACCTTAAGCACTCATGTCGCCAAGAGCAATAACGAAGTCGCACATTTGGTCAGTCAAATAAAGGAAAATAACAGCCCCCGGAGAGGGGGGCTGGGGGTGGGAGAATATGCGGGTCCCAGTAGCAGATTGATAGGCTGTGAGGATGCATCGCTGCAACGCAAAGGTACGCAGCTGCACGCGGTGGAAACCCGAGCCGGGAAACTATGGATAAATCAGGAACCTGTTGCCTACATGCACGTTTACGATAAGAGCGCAGCCGTGGGGTGTAAAATCATCCACATCAACGGTATCCCACAGGTAGCATCTCCATATTTCAAGCCAGCGATTGTCTACCTCCTGCCCCCCACCAATAGACCTCCAGAAAACAAGGTTTGATCAGTGTATGAAAGGTAGGCGTATTTAACGCGTATAAACCCCGCAATGCAAAAGGTGCTCGCTGTCCGCAGACTACCAAAAGGTACACGTAGGAGAAAACTATGGTATCGTCAAAACCAAGGCAGGTACTGAGTGGCAACTATCGAACGTTGAATCAAGGGTTAATAGTCCG